TGAATGGATGGGCAGTTGGGTTGATTCCACATCTTTGTGATTGTGACCTTCCCTGTACTATCAGGGCTCCTGAGAAGAGCTGATGTCAGAGGTGAGTATATACAAAGCCAGGAATGACTGCAGTAAACATTTGAGTGCAAGTGTCTTTTTGATAAATTGACTTTTTTTCCTTTGGGTAAATACCCAGTAGTGGGATTGCTGGATCAAATGGTAGGTCTACTTTTAGTTCTTTGAGGAGTCACCAGACTATTTTCCATACAGGTTGCACTAGCTTCCAGTCCCACCAACAGTGTATTAGTGTTACCCTCTTTTCCCATTCTCATCAGCATCTATTGTTTTGGGATTTTCTGATAAAAGCCATTCTCACTGGGGTTAGGAGATATTTCATTTGCATTTCTCTGATGATTAGTGATGTTGAGCATTTTTCCATATGTTTATTGGACATTAGTCTATTTTCTTTTGAAAAGCTTCTGTTCATGTCTTTTGTCCACTTTTTAAGGGGGTTGTTTGATATTTTTTCTTGCTGTTTGCTTGAGTTCTTTGTAGATTCTGGTTATTAGCCCTTTATCAGTTATATAGCATGCAAATATTTTCCCCCATTCTGTAGGTTGTCTATACCCTCTATTGATTGTTTCCTTGGCTGTGAAGAAGCTTTTTAATTTAATCAAGTCCCATTTATTTAGTTTTGTTGTTGCTGCAATTGCCCTTGGAGTCTTCTTCATAAATTTTGCCTAGGCTGATGTCTAAAAGAGTTTTTCCAAAATTTTCTTCTAGAATTCTTATGGTTTCATATCTTAGATTTAAGTCTGTTATTTATCTTGAATTAATTTTTGTGAGTGGTAAGAGATATGGATCCTGTTTCAATCTTCTGCATGTGGCTGTCCAATTTTCCCAGCACCATTTATTGAATAGGGATTCTTTTCCCTAGTGTATATTGCTGTGTACTTTGGCAAAGATCAGATGACAACTTGTGAATAGTTTTATGTCTGAGTTCTGGTTCTATTCCATTGGTCTGTGTCTCTATTTTTGTCCCAGTATTATGCTGTTTTGGTTAGTGTAGCCTTATAGTATAGCCTACAGTCTGGTAAAGTGATGCCTCTAGATTTGTTTCTTTTGCTTAAGATTGCTTTGGCTATTTGGGCTCTTTTCTGGTTTCAAATGAAGGATAGAATTATTTTTTCTAGATCTGTGAAAAATGACAATGGTATTTTTATGGGGATTCATTGAATCTCTAAATCACTTTGGGTAGTATGGACATTTTAACACTGTTGATTCTGTTGATCCATGAGCATGTTTTTCCATTGGTTTACATCATCTGCAATTTCCTTCCTTGGTGATTTGTAGTTCTCTTTGTAGACATTTTTCACCTCCTTTGTTAAATATATTCCTAAGTACTTTATTTTCTTTGTAGTTATTATGATCAATAATTGTTCATTGAGTGGAATTGTGTTGAGTCTAAAGAAGCCAAAAGGCTTTGATATACCTGTTTCAGCACTTTTTATTACTATATAACATAAGGATGTATAAAAATGCACTCATCTCAGAGTTTAGTATGCTCCTAGCCTTAATGAAATTACAAATGCAGAAAAAAACCTAACAAAAATTAAAAGAAATCATAATTTAAGATTTCAATTAAAGAACATTAAAACATGTAGTAGTTCACATATGTTATTCATGAAAAATATCTTTTAATGAGATAAAAATATATGTCAAAATCAAATTACACCATCATCTGGGCAGGTCGTTACTATAGCACTGAAAGGGGGAAAAAGCAGTAAAATTAACTAAAGACTATCTTATGGAAAAATGTGTAAAGTATTCAAAGTTTATGAAATTAGAATTTACATTTGAGTAAGCTATAGGTCACTCTCTTGATTTAACTTCTATATGATGCCAGGAAGACTACATGCCCAGAACGGTGCAGGACAATGTCTGGCATCACTTTGATTTTCTGGGCACCATAGAAACCTGCCAGCTGTCATCACAGAACCATCAAGTTGAAAAATATCAAATATCTAATGAATTAATCAATTTTCAAACACTGGAAAATCCATCTATTATATTGGTCCTCCACGTCTACAAATATGTCATTCCCCTCACTTTTCTAGTCATCAAGGTAGAGAGGAGACTGTGTGCTGATCAGGGCTGGAACTGGAATAACAGGAATGTCAACCATGCAGCTGCCCAGGCCCAAAACTATCAGGGCATAAGCATCAACCATCAGGATACTTAAATATTACAGAAAGTGTTTCTGTTCAAGGATCTTTCTCAGGAAGAGAACTTGTTGAATTGAAAGTCACATATTGATAAACTGATTGGGAGTAAAGTGAGAGAACTAAGGCAAGGTTCAGACAACAATAGATTGTCTGTAAACACCCTGGAGATGATGGAAGCCATTCACAACAGTTTGGGTCTTGCTGAGTGAGGATACACAAGATTGTATTGTAGATATCTCTTGGAGCTTCATCACTCAATATACAACTACTCTCTAAATAAATATGAAAAAAAAATTTAAAGAATACTGTATTAGTATACTGGTTTGCAAAAGCACTAAATTTTCAAAAATGAAAATGAAGGTATTCTTAGTTCTTTTTTCTATCTCATCCTTTTCCCCAAGATCATTGTCAAAGGAAATTATAGGATTTACTGTCTTAGGGATTCTTAGGTAGAACGTAGGCCACGTTCTCCTATTGATGAGAAAATAGACACTAGGACCTTTCAAATGTCTTTCCTGAACTCCCGCACTGGATCTTGTTTTTACATGCTTCAAACGATCTTCAGTTAAATGTTGAACTGTTGCCTCACCTATACTAAAAAACCTTCCCTCTTCTATGATTTCACTAAAGCCTTTTATAAACATGGGGTTCTTTGTTTTAAAAGCAAAGTTATATTCCCACCTAGATGGCATTAAACCTTCTTATGAAGAGAAACTGTAAACTAATGAATAAGGCAAATGACATTATTTTCTTGTGTTGAAAACTAAAGACCCATGGAGTAAATATAAGCCTGCAATAGTTCATCTAGCTGACCTGGAAACTTTGGAATGCTAATTAGAATATGCACGTATAATACTTCTAAGATCTAAGAGTCAGCAGATATGACCCTAGAAATGTTAAGCACAAATTTTGATAGGCCACAACTGTACAATGTATGCCATTAAAATATTGTCCCTTAAGGACTACCTAATGAATTTCTTTCACCCTGAGCCTGTAGATATTTGTTATCAGAGGCTTGTTTTTCTCTCTTGGAAGTAGTTGTTTTTTTCTCCCCAGTTTGCAGCACTTTAATAATGTGAAGTGCTTTACTCTAGAGAACCAATGAAGCAGAGAAAAGCTTCATGGAGCCATACTGAGAGAATGAAAACATGTCACATTAATTCAGCCTTCCCTTTCTATCCTCCTCCTCCTATCAACTAAAGAAAGTTATTTAAAAAAAAAAAATATGGAAACATATCACATATATAGTGAGATTGAGGGTTTTTTTTCTTTTTTCTTACTTAAGCATGTGCAGAACCAAAAGCTCCATAAAGCTGCTAAAGCTTTCTGACATCATCAAGTTCTTTTCTGTGAGTCATTAAGTTGCTAAAGCCCAGAAAATCAAATTTAGTTTAGGCTGTTTGATAATGTAGTAACACAGTAAATGGTGATTCACCAATTAGCTCATATAATTAAAAAACCAAAAACATGTTCTGAGTGGGTGGTGGACACACAGAAGTCAAGTCCATGATCATTGTCATTCTATATTTTTACCGATTATAACTATCATTATACCTTTAGTTGATGATACTAAGTTATAGTATTGTATGATACATTTGGATGATACATTCAAATGTTTTATGCAAGAGACTCCACAAATATCAATGTTTATAAATCAGATAAATAAATTACTGAGTTCAGTTAGTCTTTCATTCACTCCTTTCTTGAATCCTTTCTTGCCAGGCTCTGTGTTAGGCCATGGAGCTGGCTATCTTGTCCTTTCCTCCACAGGGCTCTCAATCTGTGGTACTATGTGTAAATTCTTCTAAGATGGAGAGGTAAACTGAAGTTAGAATCCTATAAAAAATGGTAGTTTTATGTTAAAAATTAGTCCTTCTGACTGATTCCTAAATTCTAATGATGTTACCAAGACTCATATCAGAAATAAGAAACAGCCAATTTGAGAATTTTCTTGCTCAGACATTTTGCTTGGCTGAAAAGAAATCTGCGATAGTTAAAAATGGAAGAGGAATATTTGTTAGATTACTTTAAAGCAACTCTTCATACATTCTCTGTGCACATCTGTTGAAATCCAAGGTGACTGGCTGTATTTAAAATGTATTTAGTTCTCTCTGCAAATGCAAATGAATTCAAAGCTTGGTTGGATGGTTAAAACAATTTGTCACTTGGAATTTCAAAATATGTCCTACTTTGCTTTTTTCTTATTACTACTGAAGTACATGGGCATGGTTACACAGTCCAGGGCTTTCCAAGAAATGTAACAAAAAGATAATGGGAATGAATTACCTCAGCTTAAGCCAGTAAAGAAAAGAGATTTCTTAGCTGATGCAGTCATTTTAATGCTATTTTACTCTAGCAAAAAATGACATATAATTGTGCTACCATTATCGCTGAATTTTAGGGTCATATTTTGGTGTTTAATCATAAAATTTTAAAAGATATTAGGAAATTATTTCCCTCACAATTGTAATGTTAGTCCTAGATGATTTGTTCTTCATAAACTCCCAATGCATATCTTGTATTTTTCTTCCTCCCTACAAAAATTATAAAATTCTAAGGGATGTAATAATCTTTGATTATTTTTGTAGCATCTCAGTTATATAGCTTAGAATAATTTGGATTATGTTCCATTTGAATAAAAATATATAATCACCAACATCAAGAAAATGTGGTTTATTTACAGCAAGGATGAAAATCTAACCTTGAGCATTTTTAAAAATGCAGCTGTCTCCTCAGCATGTATTTAATAGTTCTCTCTCCTTTTTTTTTGTTTCCTATTTATAGGTCAATGGGACAGAAATTGAATATGAATTTGAAGAAATTACACTGGAGAGGGTAAGAAAATTTTTTTAAAAAGCCAAAGCCTTAATCTTGCATTCTACATTCTATATCCTAACAGGTTGTCTTGTGAAATGACACAATTGTCTATTATAACCTGGAAGTTTTCCACAGGACTCATAATTAGAATATTAATGAAATGCTAGCAGTAGAAAGCATTGAGACAGCATATCAAAAAATCAGAATGTTCCATATGTAAACTGTACTGCCAGGATTTGGAGAATTGAATGGGAAAGAGAAATGTTCAATGAGCTTATATAGAACTTTATTGTTAATGTCTTTATTATTAGTGTTTTGGCTATACATTATTTAGATATGTTACAAGACATCATTTATGTGACATTGATATTTTCCTCATAACTACAGTTACTGTGCATTTCTTATTTAGTTTTTTAAAAAATGACAGCTTTTAAAACCATCCTCATTGGGAAAAACACAGCAACCCACAAAGCTCTGCAGATACACTGGTAGGAACTTGGCAAAGTCCTTTGACAAATTAAGAAAACTGTGCAACACAGCCCTAATATATTTAGATATTTTATAAAATAATAAGAGAAAGGCCCATGACCAGTTCGAAAAACATAATCAAAAGGCATTAACAGGACATTCATCAAAAAAAAGAAAAGCTAATAGACATATGAAAACCTGTTCAACCTCATTAAGAACAAAGAAAGACAAGGAGAGCGAAGAGTTTTTGTCTTTCCAATTGGCAAAAATCTAAAAGGAATATAAATATTCAGTGCCAAAGAGAAGTCTTAGAAATTAGAGCAACCCTAAAAGAACAATTTGGAAATGTGACTCAAAACCATTAAAATGGGTATACTTTTTGACCCCAAAATGGTACTTACAGGAAGGTACAAATACACAAAGAATGTTCAGATTAGTACTGTTTTTAATAGTGAAGATTAATTAAAAAATAAAAAAATTAAAATATATAGTAGTGAAGATTGAAAAAGATATTTAATAATAAACAGAAAAGATATAGTGTTTAATTATTATATATCTACATAATTATTATATATCCACATATCCACATTATATATCTACATTATATATCCACATATATATATCCACATATATCCACATAATATCCAATTATTATAATCCACATAATTATTATATATCCACATTAATTATTATATATCCACATAGTATTTTAGAAAAATAATTATGAGGATAGATGATATACCTAGATTATATTATTAAATTTTAAAAGTTTTAAGATGACATTTAAAATATGATCCAGTAAACAAAGCTATCCACACATAATATACTTACATAAATATATGCATAAATCCTGGAAGGATATACAACAAAATGTTAAAATTAGCTAATACTTATTAAGGATTATTGAGTAGTTTTTCCTTTTTTATTTGTATTTATTTCCTAAGCCTTCTGTAATAAACATATAATACATTTATAATATAAAATTAAACTGTAAGTATGTTTCTGTAAGCTATCACTCAAGAATGAATTAAGATTCTAGACCTATACTTTAATTTATATCTCCTTTTTTGTTTACTGATTATTCACATTCCTGAATCAGAGATGTTCTCATTTTCAGCCTAACTTTTATTGAGTCTAAGTGGTTTTAAAAGGAAATTTACATTGAAAGTTAAGTATTTGACAGATTGCTTCTTTAAAACTTCCATTATGGACTTTGATAAAATTTTAATGGCATGATAAATGAAGAAAGTGAGGCTTATGGAAAACCAGCCCAAATAAGAATAAAAGAACACATTTCTCTTAAATCACTAATCCCCTCTTCAGGACTGGCTATATGATTTGTGTAGTTAGTGCAGTACAAAATAAAACTGTGGAGCCCTTCTAAACACAGGACTCAATGAGACTTAACAGGTCTCATGCCCATAAAGCTGACTTTTTTCTGCCCACCCAATGCACATAAACATCTTGACTAGAGCACCACTTATTTATCCTGATTTTATAGGGCAAAAAATAATTAGAAGCTAATGTTGGTGTGAGATAGAATATTTGGTAGGAGTTAGACAATTGTGGGTTCCAGTGTGGATTCTGATGTATGCTTGCTTCCTGATCTTGAACATGTCAGCTAACCTTCCTTACTTCCTGCTTTAGGGTTTTGTATCATACTCTGAACCTTGTCACTGCCATTAACTATCTCCTGCAAAGCCTCTGTGTCAAGTAGTATCTTCTCTGAAGACCACCTCTTTTCTGTTCTTATCATTTATTCTAGTACCCACATTCTAAAAATTATTCAACTCCTTTGGAACCTCAAATCATCAATTTCGCTATCCCTAACCCCCTCCCCTCCCCCGCTTTCACCTTTCTTTATGCCCTGTCTTCCCTCCTCACCTAGCTGGTCCATTACTCTAATTGTCCCTGTCATGCACTCTTGGTCTTCTCTCTCCTTTTTCTGCTCATCCAGGAAAATCCCAGTCCTCTTTAACATCCCCGGGTTAGACCAATACCTTTCTACTCACTCCTCACCAGCACCTGAGCAACCAACTGGCCCTGGCTAGAGAAACATTCACTCATCTCATTTTAAATTTTTAACTGTTGATTTCAAGTGAACTCTCAAAACTCCTGTAAATTCTTATGTATGTCTTTAGAAAAAAAAATCACTTTCTTATTTTTTAGGACAAAAATTCGCATCTTATTTTCTCTTCTCAAATCTCAAACACTCTCCCTCTCATCCTCACTTTTAGTTATTGACCTCCCTAAATAGCACTAAAGCTGTTCCTGTCAAAAGTCAGGTTAAGTTCCAATTTGCTAAATATAAGCATCAGTTTTCAGTCTTAACTGACTTCTCAGCAACACTTAATGCTTCTTCTTTCCTCAAAGATGTTATTTTTTAACCTCCAGAACAAAACACTCTCCTATTCTTTTATTAATACTTCCTCTTTTTTTTTAATTTCAGCATATTATGGGGGTACAAATGTTAAGGTTACGTATATTGCCCATGCCCCCTCCCCGCTCCCACCCACCTGACACTCGATAAATGTTATTCCTATATGTCCACTTAAGTGTTGATCCATTAATACCAATTTGCTGGTGAGTACGTGTGGTGCTTGTTTTTCCCTTCTTGAGATATATCACTTCCTCTTTTGCTGCCCTTTCTCAGTCTCCTTGCTGATACCTCCTCTAAATGTTGGAGTACTCCAAATATTAATACTCAGTGAACAGACCTCATCTCTATCTTTCCTTGTTCCCTAGGTGATCCCATCTAGACCCTTGCCTTTAAATACCAACTGTCAACTGATAACTCCCAAATCTGAAGCCATGACCCTGAGTTCTGAATTCATATCACTGTCTAGTTGGCATCTCTGCTTGAATATCAAGAAGGCCTTTTCCCTTTACTCCCTCTTCTCAGGGCCAAGGCTGCTTCTACCCTAATATTCTTCATCTTAGCTAATCGACATTATCATTTCCCTTATTATTCAGTTCAGAAAAATCTAAAAGTCTTGCTTATTTTTTTTTCCTTCAGCATCCATGAGCAAGTCCTGCTGGTGCTACCATAAAAATATATTTCAAAAATCAATCAAATCTTACCACTGCTCCACTGAATCCTGGTTCAAACTAGTATCATCCCATGCTAGACCACTGTAATAGCTTCCACTTTTGCCCCACTGCTCTCCTCCAAGTAACCAGAGTTGTATTTTTCAATATATAAACCAGATTATACCACTTTTATTTTTAAAAAACTCCAAAAGATGATAATTACACTCATTGTCATCACCTGCATGCCTTATACACTGTGACCCCTGATCCTCTCTCCAACAATATGTGCTCACCACCAACTGTTCACATATTTCAATCTAGCCACACTGACCTTGACATTCGTCAAGGACGCCAAGCTTTTCCAACTTCAAGGCCTTATGTATATTACTCTGTCTGCCTGAAAAACTCTTCCCTTAGACCTTTACAGGGATTATTTTTTTTATCATTTAAATATCTGGTCTAATGTCACCTCCACAGAAAATATCTTCCTTGTCTATCCTGTTTAAATTAATTGGAATATTTCCATTACTCTCTTTCTCATTTCATTATTATTTAATTGCACTTACCAATATCTAAATATTATTTATTGTTTACATTGTTAACAGCTATCTCTCTTCCTAAATATATGCTATATATAAATACATAGTCACCTTTATATCCAATTTTCCTAGAACAGGGTCTGAAATATAGTATATACTCAGTGAATATTTGGCATATGAATGGACTATGCCTAGCTCTACAGCTGGATAGACAGTGAAATAGATATATGTGGCCTGGTTTGAATCCAGGTTTGAATCCTGGTTCTAGCATTTGCTGGTCAAGTGATCTTGAACTGCATACTTAACTTCTCTGACCTTCAGTTTTCCATCTGAAAATGATGCAAACGTATTTGTAATTACCCCATGGGTCCCTTATGATGAATAAATGAGTTAATATGAAGGTTCAGAACAGCATGTATAATTATTCTTAATATTTCCTTTGGTTAACATGGTAGTTCTCACAAGTATCATTTATTAGTACCATTGAGGGAGCTTATTAAAAACTTGGCTGCCCAGTCTCAATGAACAATTTATAATACATTAATCTAACAAGAACTTCTTTCATATCTGCTTGTTCTTTCTTTGTTAGATGTCAAACATCCAATGATACAGAAGTTATAGTTCTTACTGTATGCATTGGCAGGTTATGCTTTTTATATATAATTTCAATAACTATTAATAGTAATAATCACATTTAGTAACACACTTATGAGGTGGATACTGCTAACTTTATTTTACATATTAGTATACTGAGGCTCAGAGATTAAACCATTTGCCAAAAGTCACAGTATTATAAGATACAGAATTAAGATTCAGCCCTATGTCCAACAGACACTAGAACCTGATCTCAGTACCACTGAATTAGACTGCCCTTCAAAATTAAACTCAAATTTCATTTCCTCCAAGAAATATTTCTTGACTTCCCCTCTTGGGCAATGTGCATCTTCATAAACTAACACAAATAGGGAATTTATCACACTG